TAGTGGCTGTAGAGATGCCTCAGTGGTTAAGTGCACTTACTGCTCATCCAGGTACCTGACACTGGTTACCAGAACCCACACTGGATGGCTCAGAACCACCAGCTCGAGGAGAGTCAAAGCCTAAACACATAATCCTAAAAGAATAAAATTATTGAAAAGATGACTTCATTCTGTCACATCTAGTGTTTCTGACTCTGTGAGACATGCAGGAATACGGGAGAGATTAGGTGCCAGGTAAGGGTTCGGATCTCCACACTGGCCTTTAAAATGTACAAGTACGAGCAACCTTGAGAGTTTCTTTTTCTCATCTGTAAAAACCAAGTTTGAGAGGGCTGGAGAGAGAGTTCAGTGGTTGGAAGTGCTTGCAGCGGTACTGTTCCCAGCCCCCAGGCTGGTTGCCCCACAATTGCCTGTTACTCCAGCTCTAGGGTATCTTACACCCTTAGGGCTCCATGGGCACAGATATGCAAATAAAAGGAATTAAAAGAAACTACTTTTAGAGTCATCGTTAATATAATAAATTATATACATGTTGAAGATTAAGAACCACATCTCTTCAAACAACCCTATCAGTTAAGTAGAACCATCTTCATGTAATAGATTTTTTTTTTAAAGGCCCAAACTAAAACTAAAGTGTGGAAGCTGAGATAACTTAAGCTCACAGTGAGTGACAGAGCCAGGAATCATGGCTACATTATCAGCCTCCAAATACATTTTTACAAAGGAAGCCTCCATCATGATTATTTCAGTTAATGCTGTTTCCTCCTGAATTGTTCACATCATCCAAGGCCCATCCTCTTGCTGTGAAGACTTGCCCCCCCCTTCTCCTCCTCCTGTAGCAGGACACAGTCATCCATGCACGTGTACCGTGGCCTTCATTTCACTCTACTTTCATAATCTGTGGCATGTCTGCTCCTGGAAGAGCTCTTGGCCAACTGGGTATTCCTGTCGTCTGTGCAAATGGCAGCACACTGCAGGTATACTCAGTCATATCTGAATGACTAAATGGACTCCATACCACAGTCCTGCTGGCCTCACATCACCATGCTGTTTGCAGGATTATGTACACCAGAGGACCATCCCAGGTGGTTTTAGGGACTCTGCTGGTCTCTGATCCCTTCTGTTTCCTCTATAGCACAATTCTTCCCTCTTCAGTGTCTATCAGGATGTCTACACAAGTGAGCCTTGCCATACAAAGAAGCCACACTGTGGCTTGGAAGACTGAAAGCTGGGCTCTTTGATTTGGAGTTGGCTCTAAATCTGCATGTTGTCTCCAAGGATACTGTATGGTCTGAGGAAACAGTCAGCTGTGGATGAAGCCTCTGAAGGCTAGCCAGGCCCCTGTGGTTTGGCACAAGGAGAGATCATTGTCCCTACCAGGAAGTGGTCTGGTGGTCTTACGGACCCTAGTCTTTTCCAGACAGAACTGGGGCTCATGCTAGCTCAACTGGAGATTTCCCAGAGACTCATAAACAATTCCAGTTCTCAAGAGTACTGTAGATCCCTCCCCCAAGAAGGCTCTGGCCCCAAACTCTACAATCTTAGTATTGTGTGCTAGAAGGAAAAGATTTATTGGAATGTTGAGGGTAACCAAGCAAGTACAGCTTCTCATCACTCACCCTGAAGGAAAGAGGGGTGGTCCCAAGAAGCCCTGTCAGAGCTTGGGTGGGCTCAGAGGCATGGATGAGCCCATCAAGAGAGGAAGTAGAGCTTCACTAAGCTCAGAGAAGGTAGGCACAAGACAAGGACCGTTATCTGCAACAGGAGCAAATTACAAGAAATTTGAACAGGACACTGGGTCCCTGGTCCAACTTCAAAGATGATCTCATCTTGAACCCAGAGACTTTTGGGCAATAGGTATTTATGCTACAAGTTCACAGAGATAGGAGAACTGAAGGACAATTTCGATTCCTTGGAGATCCCACAAGCTTCTCAGTATCCTTAGAAACAATAACTGTACAATGACTTTCTGGTGGCAAGAACCGTGAAGCTGTAAGCAGTGTCAATCAGCCTGAGGAGCTTTGGCTTAGGCTAAAGGTCATTACTCCTGCAGATAGTGTTTGATATGGGGGGAGGTGGAATCTAATGACTTTTTAATGTGAAAATGAGCTGGAGATCCTTAAGGCTGGGTCCTAAAATGTCTCTCATTCCGTGTTCTTGGGGAGAATTCACTCTTTCCACAGCTTCGCTTCCCAGCCATGCACTGATTAAAGCATGTGTGTTTACTCTTTCAGTCTAACCTTTTTACCCAGATCCCACACTTACGGATCCAGGTCCCTGCTTACCACGTTGTCTCGGATGTATCAAACACACTCAAACTCAATACATCTAAACAAATTTATTACAATTTCAGCCCACACCCTACAATCATCCTGTAGCATGAGGTAGAAACAACACTGTACCTTTGTCCCCTTCCTTTCCAACTCACCCAATCAAAAGGTGTCCAGGTTTACCTCTGAAGTCTTCTAAACCCTCCACCCTCCTTTACCCCAGCACTACCCTGACTCCTCTCTCCTGTTTTGATAAATGCAATCTTCTGGTTTCCAGGCACTTGATCCCTGTAATCAGCCTCAAGGGGCCTTCCAGCCGTTCTCTCTTCCTCTAGCTTATTCCTGCTTGTTATTCAGATCTCAGCTCCAATGTCACTTCCTCAAGGGAGACTCCCCCGTGGCCTCTCTGAATAGGCTGGCTGCTTTGCAGAACTAGTCATAGCTGCAAATTTACATTTGGGCTCCACTACAGTGAGCTCCATGACAGAAGCGACTTTTTCCTGTCAATACTGTATTTGTTTTACACTTGTTAAATATCAACGCATACTATTCATGGGACAAAATAATGTCAATTTGTTTATATCCTGCTTGAGCCTAGGTAGGGGAGATTATTTCAGCCTACTGGACCTGTTATGACTTCCATATATTACTGTATTCTTTGTCTACCTACAGCCTGCCTTCTCCAGTATTCTCTAAACTGCAGTCATAATTACCTTTTAAAAAGGCAAGTCCAACTGATGAACCAGCCTGCCTCCATCTTAGGCCATAAAGTCATCTTACAGTGAAGATCAACTAGGCTCATTCATTCCTGTTTGTGATTAAACCTGTTTCTCAAGGATTGTGCTGTGCACCCTCTGTAACCTCAACTATAAATGGCTCTGCATAGCCTGTCCCAGGAAACAGCAACCCATGTCTTTGTTTCAAAAAGTCATGACCATCTTGGACCCCTACCTTTGTTTCTAAAGGTTGTTATGACTACCTGTTGTTATGACCACCTGTTGTTATGACGACCACCTTGTTCTGCTTTTGTAACCCTGTTTTGCTGCCAAGCCCCCCATTTGGGAATGCCCGACCTCTGAGCTATAAAAACCGTGTCTTCCTCATTTCTAATGTTGATCTCTTGAAGCCTGCCTTTAGGGGGAAGACAGCCTGGGCCCATGAATAAAAAAGCTTGCTTTAATTAATTTGGCCATGATGATTTGGATTGGTGGTCTTTCTCCTTGCATCTCTGGGGTTAACACAACCACTTATAATCTTTCATTATTCCCACGAAAGTCCAAACCCAGTAACATGGCCTCCGACCATGTAAACTGCTAAACGACTACTATCTTCTTACTCCTTAGGAACAAGACAGTAGAGAGCCTTAAGAAAAGGGATATCCCAGCCTCCCCCTAGACTCAGTGCTTCTCAGAGATGTTAGGTGGCACTGGAATCTGATGCAGTGGCACTGGAATCTGATGCAGTGGCAATTCAGTGATTTGAAAGGATTATCACTCTTTCCAAAAGCTAGAATTTACTCTTCTAGAAAATGCTGTGTCACAGTGTCTATAAAATGTCTAAAATGCTACATTTTCTGTTATAAAATTCTGGGCAATGAAATGTAAGTGGGCACCATTTCTTACAGCTTCCAGGTAAGAAGAGACCCCAGGCTGTGCCCTGACAACAGACCCCAGGCTGTGCCCTGACAACAGACCCCAGGCTGTGCCCTGACAACAGACCCCAGGCTGTGCCCTGACAACAGACCCCAGGCTGTGCCCTTTTTACCCACCCTCCACTTCATCTCATTTTCTGCCATTTTCAAAGCCATGCTGGCTACTGCTTTGCCAGCTATCCTAAACACAAGGCACAGGCAAGAAATGACATTATGTCCCTCGGATGGCTAAGGAAAACAACCCCCCAAAACAGAGGTGTTCAGTTTCTGTGGACCTTCCCCAAGGAGTCCTGTATTTTTGGCTTCTTTGGTATGAGGATATAAATTTGTATCTTAAGTCATGGTCTTTTACTAGCTGTCAAACTGAAACCTAATACAGGCTTCAAAGCATTTCACAATCTGACCTTCCTCAAGCTTACCTCTCCCTGTATATTTTCAAATCCAACAATGTAGCCAAACTGAGTATGTTTTTAGCTTCTTTAGCCCTCCTCCTCCTCTTCTTCCTTCTCTCCTCTCTCTCTCTCTCTCTCTCTCTCTCTCTCTCTCTTTTTCTCTCTCTCTCTTTTTTTTTTTTTTGCTTATTTTATTTTTGAGACAGTTTCATGAAACCCAGGCTAGCCTCAAATATGCTATGAAGCCAAAGCTGTCCCCCTGCCTCCACCTCTGAAGTGTGGAGGTTTCAGGCATGAACCCCACACCCAGCCCAGGCTTTCCTTAGTGTGCTAAGGCAGCAGCTTCTCCCTGTTGGGATCCTTCTCCCTCTGCCTTGCTTGGCTACTCGTGTCCTTTAGATCTCTGCTTAAGAAACCATCTTGTCAATTTTCTCTCCTGATCCCAGAGGAGGACTTGATCATGTTACTTACTATACTGTGAATGATATTTACCTGATGTTCTCCACCCGACAGTAAACTCTGTGAAAACAGGAAAGTACTTCATCTTACTCAGAACTCTATTCCGAATGCCTTGTAGAGATATGAAATTCTAAGTATTTCTTGGAAAAATGGAGTGAGTGATGGAGCTATGGCACTAGTTAATGACAGTGGGTGTGGTATCTTTGCAATATGAAGAATGAGGTGAAATGAGCGGTATATTATTATTTATTATTTATACCATATCCTGTTCCCAAAAGGACTTATAGAGGCAGGATAACTGGAAAGTGAACTTCTCAGAACTTCCCCTCAGAGACACTGGCATAGGAGACTCTAGTGGAAGACTACAGGATCATTTGAGGGCATAGGGGACAGTGGCATCTTGTCCCACCTCACCTCTAGAGTCTCCCTTGGAAGTCCTACCTCAGAAGAAAGCACTGTGGGGGCATGGCAGCAGGACAGCGTTAGCAGTAAGCGGGGGGAGGCTAACTCTCAGACACACCAGCCACCATCCTTCCCTCCCTTTGGTGCTGAAGGAAAGTGTCAGGTCTTCTCCAGAGTGCTCTGCTGGGTCTAGGGTCTCCTCTCCATGGAGAACAGCCAGATTGGTCAGTCTATAAGAGGCCCACTGCTAGCTGCAGGGTCCAGGCTCTGCCCCTCCATCATCCCCATCCTCCTCATCAGACTGTGCCAAAGGAGTGTCTCCTCCCCCATCACTTGGATTTGGACTGCGCAGGTTGGAGGAGTCAGAGGACAAGGAGGAGGTCCGGGATGTGGTCCTGTCTGATGTGGGTACCAGCAGGCTCAGCTCCTCTTGATGGTCATCCGCTCCTGCCCAGAGAGAAGAGCGGGTCAGGGCCATACACAGGGCTAGAGGACTCAGATATGTATTTGGCCAGAACAAAGTACAGAGGGTGGGCATGCATCTGTCTAGAATTACTTCCCCAGTCAGTGAGGAGCCAGAACTGGGACCTCCAGCCCCTTCCATATCACTGTACCATCTTATGTTCCGGAGCCAAAAATCCCAAAGTTCAGGCTCTACCTCATTTCTTCCTGGAGAACTTTAGGCAAACCCTTTTCCCTACCAAGGACTGTTCTTCCTGTGAAAGGGATACTGTATTTCTAAGTTTTTAGGGTAAAATCCTAAGAATGTGTATCAAATGTCTAGGAAGCTATCAGGAAATAAGAGCCATTTGTTTGTTTGTTTGTTTGTTTTTTCAGACTGGGTCTTGCACTGTAGCTGGCTTCAAACTCGTGATCATCCATCCTGCCTCTGTTTCCTGAGGGCTGTTATCAGAAGGAGCAACCAATCTCCATAGCAGTTTAAAATAAGAGTATGAGTCTTACTTGGTAAGCATACAGGGTGTGAAGCCAGGCAGAGGGTTTGAATACCAGCGTTCTACTTCCTGCCTATGCGACTGAACTTCTCTGAGCCTATTTTCTTTTATTTCTTTTTTCTAACCTTCCTTCCTTCCTTCCTTCCTTCCTTCCTTCTTTCTTTCTTTCTTTTTCTTTTTTTTGGTGCTAAAATCAAACTCAAGTACTTGCCAGGCAAGCATGTTGTGTAAACTGTGGTTCTGAACTCATTTCTAGCCCCTAGCTTCCTTCTTTATGAAATGAAGAGCCTACTCCCTACCCTGACAGACCACTACGGCCAAGAGAAAACATGTGAAGTACTTTAGCACAGTATTAAGAACCTAGTAAATTATTCAGTAAATTTTAACGTTACACAGTCTGGAGAGGTGAGTCAGCAGTTAAGAGCACTGGCTGCCCTTCCAAAGGACCTGGGTTCAAAACTCAGCACCCACATGGCAGCCCATAAATGTCTGTAACTCCAAGATCCAACCCCCTCATGCATGCAGGGAGAACACCAATGCACATAAAATAAAAGTAAATTATTAAAATAGTTAATCCTATAGCCATGCATGGTAGTGCACAGCTTTAATCCCAGCATGCTGGGAGGCAGAGGCAGGTGGATCTCCATGAGTTCATGAATAGCCAAGGCTACACAGAGAAACCCCTGTCTTGAAACACAAACCAACCAACAAACAAAAAACAAAACAAAACAAATTCTGATCGTAATTATGTTAATTTCACAAATGTAAAAACTTAAAAGCTAAAATTGCTAGCTATTGCTAGAACTTTGGCTGACCAATCTATACCCCAGTTCCCCCTGAGAGTCAAACCAAAGCAGCTAGCTGTGTCTCTAGCAGAAACACATGCTTCCAACTTCTGCTTAAGATTCTTCCCCATCTCAGGCCTACAGCCTCATTTCTGGCCCAAATATCCAACTCTGGCCAAACCGTACCCAGGTCCCCAAAGCAGAGGGACATACCAGACATCTGGGGAGTTGGCGGAGAATCCTCACAAGGTAAGAACACATCGGCTCCATCCTGATCCGTAAGATCAATAAATTCCACCTGCTCCAGTGTGTCCACATTCACTTCCATAGACGAGATGCTACCTATGGGGGCTGCACACAAGGGAGGAGTAGAGCAAACAGACCAGGCTAGAGCTGAGAGGAGGATCAGACCAACCTGTAAGATCCCAAGTTCAGAGTTTACTGGGCCACAAAAATAGGAAGGGAGCTGGGCCCAAGATCTGAGAGACACAAGGACATCTTCCCCAACCTACCCCAATTCTATTCCTTGAACTTAAAACTTACGTCTTTGTGACTCAAGATGCAGATGGGATAAGGGGAAAACAAACTCCGTCTCTGGCTGTAAAATGTCCTCGAAGAACTTCTGCCGCTCCCTGAGACGCAGCTGCTGGCGCTCCAGGGCTGCTCGTGGATTTGGATCCATGTCAGTCCCTGTGTGGGAATAGAGTAAGACAAGCACGATGGTGAGGATGAGAAAGAATGTAGTGAGGGCCCAGGCTTAAGGAGCCCCTGAGCAGCTGGCATCCCAGCGGCCTAGCCTCTGCCTCCAGTCTGGACAGCTCTGGCCTCAGCAGCCTTTCTCTTCTGTGCAACAGGACTCAGCCTACAAATTTCCAGACTCAGACAGAGGCAGGGCTGGCCCTGGTTCCACAGAGGGGATGTCAGTTCCAGGCACCGCAAGAGCCTGTCGTTAATGAAGGCTGCCAATGCTGGCTAACTGCCTACTTGCCCTTCTCAGAGACTGGGAGGGGCTGGCCATTTCATGGACCCAGCTTCCCTCAGAAGGCCAGGGAAGAAGGGGGTGAGACAGATTTAAAGTACAGGAGCTATAGTTCTGGTTCTTCCCACCTCTTGCAAAACCCAAAGAAAGACTAGAGCAACGTTCCTCCCCCATGCTTCCCGCCCCTAACACACACACACACACACACACACACACACACTCACTCATTCCATCACCACAATCCTCATCACCTCCAAACCCTTTCTCTGGGGGCAAAGACCAAATTTCCTGACTCACCTCTGCCTCTTTCTGGTCCCAGGGGTCTCACCTGAAGGTACCATCCTACCTACCTCAGACACTATCTGACACTACTTCGTGAAGGAGGGCTGTTTCTAAAGAATTGAGCACCTGTCCTCTGACCTCTCACACATCTGTCTGATTTATTTCCCAAGCTAGTAGGTACCAACTAGAGGGTAGAGACTGGGTACAGTTCAGACCAGGCATCTGATTCCCAATACTGAGTTTTTCAGAACACCAGGGCTCTGGGGCCAGCTCTGTGCATTCATTCTTATTCCTGGTACACTACTCTGAATCCATCTATCATCAGGAGCAGGGGAATCTCTAGGGTGAGGACCAAATTGTCATCCTCCAAAAAACCTCATCTGGCCATAGTGTGTATCTCAGCTCTTGGCCAGGTCCTCGAGTACTGGGGGGGTGGGGGGGAGATTAAGAGGGACCCGAAACTAACGAGCCAGGCAGGGCCAAGTCGGTGCCTGGAGTTGATGTGGCTGCTGACTGGCCTGGGAGAAGGGAGCCGCTGACGCGGACTCGGACTCGAGAAAGGCTCTTAGAGCTGCCGCCCAGGTCACAACGCTAAAAATACCCAGGGCCCCAGAGGCGGTCTGCGGAGCTGCGGAGAGGGGAGGCGAGCTCACGAGGGAGCTGCCACTGACCCAGGGCCACCCGAACGCCTCTCTCCTTTCCCCTCCCCCTGACGTTGTGGTCTTACCAGGTTGAAGGGATTGCCCACCGGGGGCTGCGGAGCCAATTCCCAGAGCTAGGTAGTTGTTTACGCGACCATAGGTACTGGGAAGAGTTAGGGATTTGGAAACAGGAGGCTGACACCGGGAAGGAACCAGGGAAATGGAGAACGAACGCCCTCTGCCCCGGCCCCACCCGCGCCGGAGGAGGCAAGAGGCAAAGAATTCCCTAAAAGGGGACTGGCGCATGGGCGAAGACGGGGCGGGCGGAGGAGGGCACCCCACGTTCCCGTGCTGCGGGGGCCCAGTCCGCTGCACCTGAGCCCAACCCGCATTCCCCCTACCTGCAGCGCCCGCGCCCCGCTGGCTCGCTGGGTGCGCTCCCGACAGGCGGCGGCGGGGGCGTGGGAGCGAGCAGCGCCGGCCGGGTGGGGCTGTGCCTGCGGGGTTCCCTGGGGACCGGCGGCCCTGGGAGCCGGGAACGAGGAAGAGGCGGGAGGCGGAAGTGGGGGCGGGGCGGGCACTCGGGGCTGGCGGCGGAGGACAGCTCCTCTGAACGCCGGGACCCGGACTTGCGGGGCGGGCGAAAAGTTCCCGCACGCATCCCTCCTCGCTCCGCCCGCGCGAGGCTGCGCGCGCCCCGAAGCACTTGCGGCACCCCCGCCCGGCGCACAGCGACTGCGGGCACACGCGCCGGCTCCGGCCCACGCACACTTGATGCTCTCCGACTCCAGAGCAGCGCCCACGCAACGACCACGCGCACGCGCCCGCTGCCCGCCTCTCCGCACCTCGATCACCCTGGCCTGGGTTACGCGCACACTTCTCCAGAAGGAGCGAGATGGGGAAGCGAGGGTCGGCTACTGCCCAGCCAGTCAAGTGCATTGCCGCCGCTGACCCCCGGGACCTTGGATTCCCTCAGCAAGCCCAAGGACCACACCGAGCCGCCACCCTACGGGTCAGGCGCACTAGGCGCGTCAGGGCTGGAGGGGATGAGCCGGCGCCGCACCCTACACGCCGGCAGGGAGCCAACACCTCGAGGTGCTCCAGAGATGCCAGACATCCAGCCAGGCGTGGGTGGGCGGTCCAGTCGGAAACTGGGGCCCCCTTTTCAGCATCTCCTGGCTCAAACCAGGGCTAGCAGTGTCCAGTATAGCAGCCCCTGGATCAAGGCTCTGTATAACACACACACACACACACACACACACACACACACACACACACACACTCCCCCCACCCCCCATCCTCTTGTCTGGGCTCTGAATGCAGCTTGAGGATGAGCCATGACTCTGGGTGTTTGTGTGTGTGTTTTCCATTAGAAATCTGTGTTGGGGTCAAGCTACCAGGAAACCATCCTTGTCATCTCCCTCTCCTTTGAGACCCACATTAAAATACACCTCCATTTCACGCGATTTATGTTTCCTACGTATCTTTCCTATACACCGTCCTGTTCCCACCACTCTGGCTCAGCCTCCCAAGGTAGTAGCCTCTTTCAGGTTTTCCTGCGCCCTCTCTTGCTTGTCTGCATTCTCCACTCAGGACAGCTCAGAGCACAAGTCTCATGTTAATTTCCTTTGTTATAAAATCTAGGCTCTGGTATTGTTCTTTTTCCTTTCCTTTTTCTTTTCCTCTTTCCTCCCTCTTTCCCCTTTCCTTTCCTCTTTTCCTTTCCTTTTTCCTTTTCTTTCCTCTTTTCCTTTCCTTTTTCCTTTCCTTTCCTCTTTTCCTTTCCTTTTTCTTTTCCTTTCTCTTTCCTTTCTCCTTTCCCCTTTCCTTTCCCCTTTCCTTTCCTTTCCTTTCCCCTTTCCTTTCCTTTCCTTTTCCTTTCCTTTCCACAGGGTTTCTTTTCATAGCCCTGCTGTTCCGGTACTTGCTCTGTAGACCAGATTAGCCTCAAAATCCAAAAGGATTCAGAGATCCTCCTGCCTTTGCCTCTCGACTGTCCCACCATACCCAGCTTCAAGTGGTCTTGAAAAGCAGGGGAGAGGGAGGGTGTGTGCAAAGGGTTGGTATGAGAAGCATGCACATCTGGGTTTCCCCACAGTGGGACAGTATTCTAGCAATGCTGAGGCATGGACTCCTCAGTGTGGCTAGGCTGAGAACAACCCTGTGAGTAAGCACAGCCAGCAGCTTGCTCGCTCGTGGGGAAGAGTGGAGCTAGTCTGTGGGTGGCTGAGTGCAGAGGGGGAGATTACAGCCAGACCCCCTTCCTGAGTTGTGAGCAATGGCAGCTCCTAGCCAGCTCCTAACCCTTCTCTGACTCCTGATCCTGCCTGTTAACAAGGGCTATTAATCCCACTCTTACTGTAGGACTTTGACCACACTGGAAATGGTCCATAAACCTCAGCTCTCTTGGTTGGGACGGGTTGTGAGAAAGGGAAAGACTGCATTCTACCATGAACTTATGCCATAGGAAGGAGGCCCTAACTGTTAGCACTTCTGTGGGAGTTACCCGGTGCCTCTGAGGTAAACGTTATTATGTCCACTTTACAGACACAGAAACAGAGCTGCAGAGAGGTAGGGGAACTATTGAGGTTCTAAGCTAGTCAGTGACAGGGCTAGAATGAGAACCTGGGCAGGCTGCCTTCTGAGATGGCTATCACCACGGCTCCAAGCATGCTCTTTTATCCTGTTGTAAGTTTCGTGTTTCAAGAACTATTATAGCAAGTGTGAGTCTTACTTCTCATTAATGGATGGAGTAGATACATGGTCTCATTTTCTACCACAGAAATGAGTCCAACTCTGGATGGCGCACGGTGGCTGGAGCTTAGCTCCCAAAGTCACTGACTCGGTCTCTCACCCCATCTCCTACCCTTGCTCCATTTCCAGACTCATCTCTGGAAGAAGAACTCTGGAAAGCAGGCTTTTTAAAACCTAGTCAAGCCGGGCGGTGGTGGCACACCCCTTTAATCCCAGCACTTGGGAGGCAGAGACAGGCGGATTTCTGAGTTCGAGGCCAGCCTGGTCTACAGAGTGAGTTCCAGGACAGCCAGGGCTACACAGAGAAACCCTGTCTCGAAAAACCAAAAAAAAAAAACCTAGTCAAGTGCAGGAGAGCAGGGGAGTGTGGAGAGCAGGAGTTCAGTCTAACTGATGGAATAATCAGCTGAGCCCTAGATTATTTTCAATCAAAGAGAAAGATCAGGATGTCTGTCACTCTTATTGCCAGATATTTACCAAATACTGGTTAGAATAGGGTGATATCCAAGCTGAAATTAAGTCCGTGAGCTACACTAGAACTGTGTCATCCTAAAGAATGATCCCCGGTGACAAGGACTGGACTGGCCGAGAGAGTAGAAAAGATCAGTAAAGAGCAGATGGCCTGACATTTCTGGCTTCCAGCTGGGATGCAGGCAGCTGAGAAGAGCATCGCCACACTAAGAACAATTTCTAAAACTTATTAGACAGTCTTCGTGGCTTTTGTCAACCTTCAGAGAATCGAGGTTGCAAAGCAACTAATGAACGTGAATTCCAAAGGATAGGAGCCTCAGAAGACACAGAATGTAGGCACTGGTTTACTTCTGAGGGGAATATGAAATCTCCATGTATAAAGGTAAGAAGATAGAAGAACTATTTGGCTAAAATGTTTATTGAACTGTTAAAGGCCCACTGTAGCTCAAACAGGGGCTAAGTCTGCAGGCATCCAGATGATAGTACAGTGACAGACAACTCAGTCTCACACTAATGGCTTTACACACGACAGCAATCTCCAAGCACAAATAATACTTGTACTTGGTGCCTATGTACTATGTCCATGGATTGGTAAAAACACAATAGACACATGGAAATACAAAAACTGTCAAGAATCAAAGTCAGAGGCTGGAGAGTGGTGCACACCAGCACTCAGGAGGGAGACAGCAGAATGTCTGAGTTCTAGGCCAGCCTGGTCTTCAGAGAGAGAGAGTGTGTGTTCCAGGACAGCCATGGCTACACAGAAAAAAAAAAAAAAACCCTTGTCTTGAAAAACCAAACAAGCCGGGCGGTGGTGGTGAACGCCTTTAATCCCAGCACTTGGGAGGCAGAGGCAGGCAGATTTCTGAGTTCGAGGCCAGCCTGGTCTACAGAGTGAGTTCCAGGACAACCAGGACTATACAGAGAAACCCTGTCTCAAAAAAACAAAAACAAAACAAAAAACAAAACCAACCAAACAAAAAAACAAAAACAAAAAAAAGAAAAAAAGAAAAACCAAACAAAACCAAACAAACAAAGTGCCAAAGTCAAGACTCTTTGTCAAGTAATCAGAAGGACCAGATCTGAGCCCCAGATGCTGCAGCTATCTGACAGAATTTAAGAGAACAATGATCCACGAAATGCTCTCACGGAGAATGGACATGATGTAAATGAGCAGAATTGTCAACAGATCATATGCAACACTAGAAACAGACACACTCGAGATCTGAAGGACACACAAAGGAAGACACAGCAAAGGAAGAAACTGATGAACTTGAAGACAGTTCAACAGAGGCTTCTAAAGATGAAACATAAAAATAGTCAAATAAAATTCCTAACTAGGGCTGGGATGTCACTCAAGTAGCTAAGGGCCTGTGTAGAATGCACAAGGCTCTGTATAAAAACAGGGCCTGAGACCATGTATCTATAATCTCAACACTTGGAGGTGGAGGCAGGAGGGTCAGAAGGTCACCCTTCATCTGCAGAGTGAGTTTGAGGCCAGCCTGGGCTACATGCGACCCTGACTCGAAAGAAAGAAAAATGTCTAGAGTAAAAATGTAGGCTGGTGTGTTGGTGCAAGCCTTTAGTTCCAGTACTCTAGAGGCAGATGCAGGAGAATCTCTGAGTTGGAGGCCATTCTGGTCTACAGAGTGAGTTCCAGGACAGGGAGGACTACACACAGAAACCCCGTCTTGAAAAACCAAAGAAACAAAGAAACACATTTAGGGCTATAAATGGAGACAGTGTTAAATTGTTAAAGTGTTAGAATAAATAACTGGTTTGCCTTACTATTCTATTGTGTCCCCCCCTCTGTGTATGTGTGTACATGCATGTGAGAATGTAAGTGTGTCAGCTGTGCTTGCTGATGTGTACGTTGTACCTGTGTGCCCAGAGGTCAACATGAGGTATCTCCCTCCACCGCTCACTCACCGTACTTTTGAGACAAGGTCTC